TGGTGAAGATCTTCTCCCAGTCAGTGGGTTGCCTTTCTGTCTTAGCAACAGTGTCCTTTGCTTTACAGAAGCTTCTCAGTCTCAGGAGGTCCCATTTATTCAATGAGGCCCTTACTGTCTGTGCTGCTGGGGTTATACGTAGGAAGTGGTCTCCTGTGCCCACGTGTTGTAGAGTACTTCCCACTTTCTCTTCTATCAGGTTCAGTGTGTTCGGACTGATATTGAGGTCTTTAATCCACTTGGACTTGAGTTTTGTGCATGGTGATAGATATGGATCTATTTTCATTATTCTACAGATTGACATCCAGTTTTGCCAGCACAATTTGTTGAAGATGCTCTCTTTTTTCCATTGTATACTTTTAGCTCCTTTATCGAAAATCAGGTGCTCATAGGTTTGTGGGTTAAAGTCTGGGTCTTCTATTCGATTCCATTGGTCGACTTCTCTGTTTTTATGCCAATACCAAGCTGTTTTCAATACTGTAGCTCTCTTTGATTTAATTGTAGTGGGGCGATCTGCTCTTGGTGTTTCGCGCTGGTCCCTGCCGCCTGCGTCCTCTGCTGCCTAGCCAGTCCCTGCAGGTTCCGGTTGCCGCTTGCGTCGCTGCCTGCGTCACTTGTCTGCGGGCGTCTGCTTCCCTCGTCTGCCGGTCGGTATATATGTTTCTACTCTTGTTTAAGGTATTGTACCTACGCAGCTCATTCAAAATGCATGGTAAAGTTTTAGTTCTTGAAAGCTGTTTAGGATAATAAAGAAATACAGGTTAATAGTCATCTATAACAATCAAACATATAGTCAGGTTAGGTATGTTTTCAAGGTCATACAGAGATATATTTTAGATATATATATATATATAGACTTTAGATAGACTTCAAAGTCTACATAATATAGCATTTAAAATGTTTTAATAACATAAGGCTTTTCATGACAGCAAGACACGTCTGGTCCTGGCAGCATCAGTTTACTTCAAAAAAGGATGATGAACATGGAAGAACCTCCATATGGAGTTTGCTTTCTTTGTGATAAACAGTAGGCACTTGGGCAAGGAACTGCTCTTGCCTCAACTGCTGGCAGTATGCTGTCCAACCTGAGCAAACAGGACAAAAAGAAGAGACTGCAGAATTTGCCAAGACCAGGTAGGACAGTCTTTCAAAATTCCTGCTTTAGGGGCTGGAGAGATGGCTCAGTGGTTAAGAGCACTGCCTGCTCTTCCAAAGGTCCTGAGTTCAATTCCCAGCAACCACATGGTGGCTCACACCCATCTGTAAAGAGGTCCGGCGCCCTCTTCTGGCCTTCAGGCATACACACAGACAGAATATTGTATACATAATAAATAAATAAATAAATAAATAAATAAATAAATAAATAAATAAATTCCTGCTTTAGCCAGGCGGTGGTGGCACATGCCTTTAATCCCAGCACTCGGGAGGCAGAGGCAGGTGGATCTCTGTGAGTTCGAGGCCAGCCTGGTCTACAAGAGCTAGTTCCGGGACAGGAACCAAAAAGCTACGGAGAAACCCTGTCTCGAAAATTCAAAAAAAAAAAAATTCCTGCTTTACAAAAAAGTCTGTCAGATAGTCTAGGCCTGTAGGAGGAAGATGGATGCCCCAACATTACCGAGGAACCCTGGGGTGACGGTTGTTTTAGATTTGAAATAGCTTGTTCTGCACTTCCTGTTTACTCAGGTGATATTATAACCTTCTCAGGTCTTTGATGGGGTTGAAGACTAGGTTGTCATAGTTACAGTTTTCCTTAGTCATGACAGAAAGTAAATAAGATGAAAAACTTTGGACTCACCAAGACAGGATAGATATAATACAGTACTTTTGCCAAATTTGCCAAATGCAAATGAACTGGACGCTGCGAATGTAATTCTTACCTGATAATTGTCCTTATTGAATATAGTTTTACTGTATTAGAGCTAAAACATTTCCTATTTATTTAGACGAAAAAGGGGAAATGTAGAATTATCTTTTTGTACACTGTGAAGACGTGTCACTCGGATAGGTTTAATAAAAAACGGAGTGGTTAATGGCTAGGCAGGATTATCAGGGTAGAGAGAACACTGGTAAGAAGGGTGAAGGTGCCAGGAGACACAGCAAGCAGGATAGGCCATATGGAGATGAGGTAATAGAGCCACAAGTCAGAAAATAGATGAATAGAGATGGATTAATTCAAGTTATAAGAGCTAGTTAGAAGCTGAGCGGTGGTGCCGCACACCTTTAATCCCAGCACTCGGGAGGCAGAGGCAGGCGGATCTCTGTGAGTTTGAGGCCAGCCTGGTCTACAAGAGCTAGTGCCAGGACAGGCTCCAAAAGCTACACAGAGAAACCCTGTCTCAATAAATGTCTCAATAAATAAATAAATAAATAAATAAATAAATAAATAAATAAATAAATAAAATCCCATTTAGAAAAAAAAGACCCAGCTGTGGGCTCTGTGATATTTCATCCACTATAAGAATCTTTCCCTGCGAGGGCTGAGGCACTGATCTAGGAGAACAGTGTGTGTCATTAGAGTATTTTACTGCTGTGTTCCTTTAGCAGAATAATAGTTTGTCCCCAGACCCAGGACCTATGCAGTCTCGGGTTCTTGGCTATGTTAGCTGTGTTAGTTAGGGATGGGTTCCATCTCTGGAATGATCTGTGTGTTGTTCTTTTGTTTTTTTGGGGGGGGACAAGATCTCATGACTGACTTCCAGCTCTCTGTGTAGCTGAGGGTGTCCTTGAACCCCTGATTCTCTTGCCCTTACTTTCCAAGTTCTGGGATTACAGAAGTGTGTCACCACACCTAGCCACAGTTTTATACGTGTGTTAGCATCTTCCCATGCAGCTCAGCTGTCCTCAATCCGCAACCTTCTTTTCTCAGTCTCCAGAGCTCTGGGACTTCAGGTGAGTGAAATTACATCCTACTTATTTAAAATCTGAATCAGCTGGTCAGTTGGTACAACCATCCTTACACTAGGATTCAGTGGTGGCTGGAGGGATGGCTCAGTGATGGAGAACAGTGGCTGGTCTTCCCAGTACCTACATGGCAGCTCACAACTGTGTAACTCCAGCTCCAGGGGATCTGGCACCCTCACACAGACATACACGCAGGCAAAACAGCATGGGAAAAAATTTACAAAAGCAAGATTTGGTAGAAGAGCTGGTTTTTTTTTTTTTTTCCCAGTGGTAGAATGCTTGCCTAGTGTATGTAAGGCCCTGAGTCAATCCTCATCACTAAGGGAAAAAAAATCCTCGGGAGACTCTATAGGTGGATTTGAGACTCATATCTTAGCAATATGGAACATTCCATCCACAAACATAGAACACCTCTGCAACTGCACATTTATTAGAATTTTCTTAATTTCCCTCAGTATTGTTTTGTAGTTGGCAGCATATGAATCATAATTTTTTGTTTTTTTTTCCTATTTCATCATTTTTATCCTATTGCAAATGATTTTTTTCCAATCCCAGAGACTCATGAATGCTAGGCAAATGCTTTACCCCTGACAAGTATTCCCGCTTGCAAACCCAGACACCCCTCTGGCCCTGTCAGGCCCCTTTAGCTATTTTATTGAGTCAGGTATCTAGATAGCGGATGAGACATTTGGAGTCATAGTTGCTCAATATTTACTGGCATTTTATTGGATTTTCCCACTTTGGCAGTCAGAGCACTGGGCAAAAATAGCATTGTTTCCTTACCGTAGATGTTCATGGTGATATTTAAAATCTTTTATTTCCAGTTACTCACCACTAATCTATAGACGTGCAATACGTTTTTGGTGTCTGGGTTTGCTAAATCTCTTATCTAATATTTGTGGATTCCTCAGGTTTCTCTGTGAAGACAACTATCCGCCGTGTACAAAAAAATACATTTTCTCTCCTCACAATCTGCAAGATTTTATTGACTTTTTGGTAACTCATTGTTGGAACTGTGACCTGCAGTACAATGTTCAGATGTGGCGAGAGCAGAAATTCACCGCTTTATTCTTCTCCACGGAGGAGAGGTGTCCAGTTTTCCCCATGAGGTCAGCTGAAGGTCAGAGTTCTCAGAAACACTTTCTGGGCTTTAGTGTTATTATTTTAATACTAAAATGCAAGGTCTCACTATGTAACTCTGGCAGTCCTGGAACTCACTATACAGACCAGGCTGGCCTTAAGGGCATATGACGCCACCACATGGCTAATATTTAATAATAAATGTTATTATTAAATATTATTATTAATAATAAATATTATTATTATGAATGTGTGGCACAATGCCATGGCATGCATGGGGCTCTCCTTCCATCTTTATATGAGCCTCAGTCCCACTTAGCGACAGGTGCTTTCAGTCTCTGAGTCCTCTCTCCCACCTTCTGAGAATGTTTCCCGTCATTACTAGTTTTCTGAGGGTTTTTAATTTTAATTTTATTTTATTGATTTTTTTTTTTTAGTTTTTTTGAGACACGGTTTCTCTGTGTAGCCTTGGCTGTCTTGGAACTTGCTCTGTAGACCAGGCTGGCCTTGGACTCACAGAGATCCTCCTGCCTCTGTCTCCTGAGTGCTGGGACTAAAGGCACATGCCACCACCACCTGGCTTATTGATTGTTTTGAGACAGGGTTTCTTTGTGTAACAGCCTTGGCTGTACTGGAACTCACTCTGTAGACCAGGCTGGCCTTGAACTGAGAGATCCAGCAGAACTGAACCTGGGTCTTCTACAAGAGCAACAAGGTTATGTCAAAACTCATCTTTACGAACACACTGCAGGGAGGTGGGGGCCTGGGAGGAGTCTCGTCCCAAGCAGGTTGAATCTCAGCCTTTGACAAGTTCAGGGCCCTTCTCTGGTCAGCCTCTTTCAGGCCACAGCCAGCCCTGTTAGTCGGAGACAGATTTAGAAGCTCCTCAGGGAAAGTGTCTTCCCAGATGGCCCTTCAGCTGGGCAGGAACCCAGGCCCTGCTGGCCAACTGGCACCTAGACCTCAGCTGAAGAGGAGACCCAGTACTATGGATGCCTTCCAGGCCTGCCTGCTCTTCCTGTCACGGAAGGCTCGGAGCTCCCTGGCACCAGGCGCCTGCAGATTATTCCGGTATATCTGTGTGTGTATGCCTATGTCTGTCTCTATTTGTGGTATTTGTGTGTGTGTGTGTGTGTGTGTGTGTGTGTGTGTTTGGGTGTTTGGTGTTTGGGCCTTGGAGCTGCTGCATGATAGAGTGTAGTGGGGTGACCTATGAGCCCCTTAACAGGAGGAGCCGCTGTTATCCAGAGGCCTGGGTGAGACAAGGGGCTGAGTGCCGTTCAGGTAACCCGCCTGCGAAAGGCAGAAAAGCTGTTTAATCCATCATATACAGAAGCTGGATGGAGGCCTGGTACCTACCTCATGTTCAGCCCATGCCAGAACCCAGCCTAAAGGCCTTAAAAACCCAGGAGAGAGAAACCAAGCCCTGTGGCGGCTGGCTAGAATCTCCCCTCCCCCTACAGGCACCATCTGGGGTTCCTAGACTATCCAAGACTCTCCCACCTCCTAAGGTCTAACCAGCCTGAGAGGTTCCAGAAGACAGTCCAACAATCTCATCCCCTCTGGAGCCAGAACTGAGTGACTACCATACTCCTAACCCTGGAAAGCAGGGCGGTGACGGGAGAGGCAAATGGGTACCAAGAGAGACCCAATAACTGACTCCTGCCTCTAAAACCAGGATGGGGGGCTGGAGAGATGGCTCAGAGGTTAAGTGCATTGCCTGCTCTTCCAAAGATCCTGAGTTCAATTCCCAGCAAACCACATGATAGCTCACAACATCTGTAATGAAGTCTGGTGCCCTCTTCTGGCCTGCAGGCATACATGCAGAAAGAATATTGTATACATAATAAATAAATAAATTAAAAAAAAAAACAGGATGGGGCCGGGCGATGGTAGCACACACCCTTAATCCCAGCACTCAGGAGGCAGAGGCAGACAGATCTTTGTAAGTTCGAGGCCAGCCTGGTCTACAGAGTGAGTTCCAGGACAGGCTCCAAAAACTACAGCAAAACCCTGTCTGGGAAAAAAGAAAAGAAATGAAATGAATTAATTTAAGTTGTAAGAGATAGTTAATAATAAGCCTGAGCTATGGATTGGGCATTTTGTAATCAATATAAGCTTCTGTGTGTTTATTTGGGACTAGGCGGTCGGGACCAAAGAAAAGCTCCGCCTCTTTTTACATGCAATGGTTGTTATGAGCTGCCCTGTGGGTGCTGGACATCCCTATGGGGCTCACTGGAAGAGTAGTTCTTTAAGAACGGAGCCATCACTGGGCCATGGTGGTGCACGCCTTTGATCTAGGCTGTCCTGGAGTTCAAGCAGTAGACCAGACTGGCCTTGAACTCATAGAGATCTGCCTGCCTCTATCTCCAAAATGCTGTGATTAAAGGTGTTTGCCACTACCCTGGCTAGTCTTTTTTTTTTTTAAAGATATTTAAAATATAATATTTGTGTTAATTCTTTGAGAATTTCATATAATGTGTTTTGTTTGTATCAACCTCCCACTCCTTCCTCTATCTCCTCCCAGATCCACACCCCTGCCCATTGGCCGGCAGCTCTTTATTCACCCAATGGGAAGGCACCTTGGCAAAGACACATCTTCACAGGATACGAAGAGACTATTCCTTAACAGGTAAAGGTTAGCTACAGAGGCTGAGCCTGGAACCAAGCAACACGGACAGCCTGGCCTGCAACGTGCAGCTTCACCTGTGTCTTTAGTTTTCACTAGAAGAGAAGCCATTTCTGTCACTGGCCTCGACCCAGGAGGGACTTAAAGCTCCTGCAGCCACCAATCACTGGAGCACGTGTGAGCACAAGTCACAGGAACTGTGACAGTGGCCACAAGTCTCTAGCTACACAGCTCAAGCTGTCTGGAAGGAGAAATCGTTCACCAGCGCTAGAGGCGATGAGGGGCTTCAGGAAGGTTTGCTCAGGACCTGGCTCCCTCTCCTCTGGGTGTCACGTTGTCTGGCTCTGCCGGCTTCCACACCTCAGGAGGAAGAGCTCCCTCCCCCAAGTTGCCAAGATTAGACCAGCTGAGGCCACGGCTCTTCTGCTGGGAAATCCCAGGGACTGTCAGGCAGGAGGAAGGCGAAGTGGGTGATTCGAGGAAGCCCAGCTGTGGGGCCACATGCGCAAACACAGCTGTCCAGGGTGTCCTGCCAGGGACAGGGGTGGATCCAGGGGACTCGTCCCAGGAGGTTCTCTGCCACTTACTGGAGGAACTGTGGAGAAGAGCCCGGGCTGCCGGCAGGAGGAGGTGACTCAGTGAATACAGGGTCCTTCTGGGTGCTGTTCCCAGGACGCCTTCATGCTGAGGAAGAAAAGGGGCTGCAGGAGCCCTCTGGAAACATGCAATAGGTCCGGGAGGGCACCGTGTTCATGCTTTAACGGGAGAGATTGGGCCCGTCATCCATCCAGGTAAGCCTGGCGAGGGGTTTGAACTGATCCTTTGGGTGGAGGCTCATAAGCCTGTTTTGTTTTGTTTTGTTTTGTTTTTCGAGACAGGGTTTCTCTGTACCTTTAGAGCCTGTCCTGCAACTAGCTCTTGTAGACCAGGCTGGTCTCGCACCTGCCTCTGCCTCCCGAGTGCGGGGATTAAAGGCTTGCACCACCACCCTGCTAAGCCTGTTTTTTAAGGAGGTACAAGATGCCCTAAAGCCAGCCCAGCACTCAGCCCAAGATGTCCCTCTGAGTGACCTGGAAGGACCCACCATCATGGCTGATTGGATGGAGGCAATCCCTCAGCTAGGGTTTTCTTTCTCAGGTGATACTAGTTTGTGCCAAGTTTACAAAAACTAACCAGTACAATGGCCGTCTCATCTGGCTTCTGCTTCTGTCTCCCACCAGCCCAGCGACACCCTGGTACTCACATCAGACCCAGGGTGCAGGTAACGCTGCTTCTGGTCACCCACCCCATAGCCTGAGTTCTAGACCCCGGATTCGGCCTGGCCCATCCTAGTCTGTTGATCTCTCCACTGGATCTGTAGGCCCGGGACAGGATTTTTTTGTTTTGTTTTTTTTGTTTTTTGCTTTTTTTGTTTTCATTTGAAGACTGTTTTATTCTATAGCCCTGGCTGCTAGAACTTACTCTGCCCACATCCCCAATTGCCCCCAGAGTTTTGTACTTTGTATTTTCACCCTGTTGACGCTCCCAACCAAACCCAGAGACGCCTGGCCGGTTCTCCAACTCCAGCGGGATCCTCCAACACCCGTAACCGTCTGTGCTCTTCCAGCCCAGGCCCTGCTCTGAAGTCCAGTGCTGGGTTTGGTCTCCTGTTTCCAGTCTGGACCCTGGACTGCCACGTCCACTCCCGAGCCTTGCTAGCATGGCACCTCTGAGTCTTGGCCGCACCTCCATCGGCCTGAGCCACACCCTTTCTGGGTCTGCTTCTTCATCTCCCCTGCCTGGGCAGCCCGGTTCTATCCGCCGCCTACTGGCCAATCCACGCTACGTGACTGCCACCCAGAGGCCACTCCGGGAATTACAGGCTGTCCTTATACCTGCGTCTCAGCCCCAGGCCATGTGCCCCAGGATATTCGCTCTTTTTCAGAACGACCCCTATTAAATGAATTAGGACTAGAGATTGGCCCAGAGTCTCCCAGGGTGAACACTTGGTATTTGGAAGACGTTTTGATCAATTGCCAGAAACAGGCTCTGGCAAAAGCTCGATTTGTGGATAGATTTGCAGAGGTACTCTGGTCAGTCCTACTTTTCCAGGCTTCGGATGTTGGAGTGTCTTGGCAGGAGAGGAATGGGGTGTGGCTACCAACACAGGAGCCGAAACAAAGAGAAAGAAGATGGGAGGGGGCCGCCAACCAGCTGCGGGGAGTGTGAAAGAAATGTACTGTCTTCTCCACCCACGTGTCAAATACGGCAAAGCATCACCTAAAAAAGATTGTAAGTGGGTCTGCAGAGATGGCTCGGCAGTTAAGAGCGCTCGCTCTTGCAGGGGACCCAGGTTCAGTTCTCAGCAACCATTTGGTGGCTCACAGTAACCTATGACGTCAGTGTCAAGGCATACGGTGTCCTCTTCCAACTTCCTCGGAGTCTAGGCACACGCATGGTACACAGACGCACATGTAGCAAAACACTCATACATATTAAGTAAAATAATTAATTTATAATTTTTTAAAAATATTTATTTATTATGTATACAGTATACAATATTCTGTCTGTGTGTATGTCTGCAGGCCAGAAGAGGGCAGCAGACCTCATTACAGATGGTTGTGAGCCACTATGTGGTTGCCGGGAATTGAACTCATGACCTTTGGAAGAGCAGGCAATGCTCTTAACCACTGAGCCATCTCTCCAGCCCATTAATTTATAATTTATTATAATTTATAATTATAACTATCTTTCTTCAACTCCATCAAAGACTCCAGAAAGATATAATATTACCTAAGTAAATAGGAAGTGCATTATAAGCAACTTCCAAAACTCTAGAATTGACAGAGACTTCTCACTGCCTGGACAGTCACCCAAAGTTCTTCTGTACTGTCGGGGCACCCATCTTCAGCCCACAGGCCCATAGCATCTGGCAGACTTTTCCATGAAGAAGGAAATTTGAAAAGCTGTCCTGCCTTTACTGGCAATTTGTCAGTCACTTTCTTCTGGCAGACTTTTTCATGGAAGCAGAAACCATGAAGGACTGTCTCACCTTCTTTAGACAAGTCCAGCAGTCATTTTTCTGCAGGTCCTGCATGTCCAGTTCATATAGGACAGTAATCAAACAGTCCAGGCAAGAGCAGTTTTTTTTTTTTTCCCCAAATGGCTAACAAACTCCATGAGGAGCCTCTTCAATGCCCATCTTCTTCTTGAAGTAGATTTGTGCTGCCAGGAGCAGATGTGTCTCTTTGTCATGAAAAGTGCTAAGTTAACAAAACATTTTTAATGCCATATTCTATAGGTCTTTGAAGTGTTGAAGATTAGCTATCTAACTGAAATATACCTCTATATATCTAGAAGACCTAACTAACATGACTACAAGTTTGACTATTATAAATTAATCTGTAATTTTAATTATACATTATGTTTTTTTTAAGATTTATTTATTTCTTATGTATATAACATTCTACCTCCATGTATGTCCACACACCAGAAGAGGGCGCCAGATCTCATTACAGATGGTTGTGAGCCACCATGTGGTTGCTGGGAATTGAACTCAGGACCTCTGGAAGAGCAGCCAGTGCTCTTAACCACTGAGCCATCTCTCCAGCCCCTACATTATGTTTTTAAATGAGCTGTATAAACACAATACCTTAAACAAGAGTAAAAATATACATATAAAATTGTCCTTAAATTTGTATCAATATAGCAAAGTCCATACCAATGTATTCATTTCTATATTATATCCCCTTTTAAATGAAAACAAACATTTATAAACAATACTTTGAGAATTTGAGCTTTGTTTTCTCCAAACTGCTTCCTACTGTTTGTTGGGTAAAGTATTTTTCGGGTTCACAGAGACCTTTCAGGGGATCTTGTTCTATCAAAACCACATTAGCCTGGAAGGAATCCACAGGTTCTCATCCTCTGTGGAAACAAAAGCAGAGCCTCTTTTCCAAAGTATCTTATCCTTACACCGTTCTTTTCTTTTTCAAGACAGGGTTTCTCTGTAGCTTTGGAGCCTGTCCTGGAACTCATTCTATAGACCAGGCTGGTCTCAAATTCAGAGAGATCCGCCTGCCAAAAAGGTGTGCGCCCCAACTGCTTGGCAAAACCTAAATTTTGATGTCAAGATACATTTATGTTGGTTTAACTTAGCAGCCCCCAGAATCCAATATCTCTCTACAGTCAAGAAGTTCAAAGAAAACACAATAATATACATAATCCAGACTCTCTGTGTATTTTCCCTATGACCCCTCCCCCATTGTATTCAGAACCAATACTGTGGGCCCTCGGGAGACAGTGGATCTCTGTGAGTTCAAGGCCACCTGGTCTAACATCGAGTTTCAGGCCAGCCAGAGCTGCATGGTAAGACTCTGGTACAGGATTTTATGTGATATAAATTTAAAGGTCTTTTTGTTATAGTATTTGCATGTTTCTGTTCTTGTTTAAAATAGTGTAGCCATACAATATATCATACATCTTGAGGGAAACCACAAGAAAGACTTCGGTAAGAGTTTTTATGTTGTCTAAAACAGCTATAAAAGGTCAAAGCATTAAAAATATTAATTAACTAATGGTTTAAAAATGTATTTCCTTGTTTAAGGTCTATTCAGGCTTAAAAATGCATGTTTAGCCTCCTTGTCTTTGCTAACTCTGTTGGGTTTAAGCTATTTGGATAAACTGAGTCATAAATTTTTGTATTGATACTGAGAGGTTTGGACCTCCTCTTCTGGGGAAGAATGTTGTTTCTATGTCAATCACTCCGGGGTAGAGATTCAGTGGCCTTGTTAATGATAGAGAACAGAACACTCACAGGAAAGTGGGTGAAAACTTGCTCAGCTGGTCTCCTTGTTAACAACCTTACTTCCAGCTCTAACAGCCCCTAATGATCTTGCTTCTTATCAACAGACTGACGGCTTTTGTTTGAGAATGGGTCAATACTGCTCAACTGATAGTATTGAGGTTCCAGTATCACCCCCTTGAGCTCCTGGACAGACAGGACCCAGGATTGAGTCCGGTCATCAGTATTTGTAAAGGGGGGAAAATGTAGGGTCCAGGGCAGCTTTCCCAGGGCAACTTGGTACACACCTGCCAAGATGGGTTTTATAGATCAGCAGGAAGGTAGACCTGAGTCTCAGTTTGCCCTGGGGCAATGCTGGCTCCTAGACTCCCTCCTGTTTCCATTTCACCCTGGGAACCTGTTCCTTGCCTTCCAGGGGACAGTATTTTTTGTTTGTTTGTTTGTTTTGTTTTTTTGAGGCAGGGTTTCTCTGTAGCTTTGGAGCCTGTCCTGGCACTAGCTCTTGTAGACCAGGCTGGTCTTGAACTCACAGAGATCCACCTGCCTCTGCCTCCCGAGTGCTGAGATTAAAGGTGTGAGCCACCACCGCCCGGCCCAGGGGACAGCATTAACAGCTAGGTATAAACTTGTTCTGTGTTTACCCTCGGAATGACTAATTCTGTTTCTTTATTAGCTTTAGTTCAAAATCATTGCAGAGTGTGGAGTTCTAGTCTTGGGAAAGCTGCTAACTTATTATAGACCGTTAGGAAATACAAGTTAGTCATCTTTAAAGTACTGATATAAGGGGCTGGAGAGATGGCTCAGAGGTTAAGAGCATTGTCTGCTCTTCCAAAGGTCCTGAGTTCAATTCCCAGCAACCACATGGTGGCTCACGAACATCTGTAATGGGGTCTGGTGCCCTCTTCTGGCCTGCAGGCATACACACAGACAGAACATTGTATACATAATAAATAAATATTTAAAAAGTACTGATATAATTAGTTACAGGAATAAGCCTTATTTAGTTCCCTGTATATGTTTTTGAAGTTAAATTTAAAACAAATAATGAGAAAGTTTCTCTAATCAGACATACCTAGGCAGCCCTCATACTGCAGAGATCTGCAGAATATGGCATTTGAGATAATGATTAAAAAGCTTATTATATTAGACAGAGACTCCGAGATCCTAGCAGTAACCCAAGGTCTCCAAAAAGATTATGAGACACCATGAGGTCTTCACCTGGATTGCGACGACGCTGACCACTGGACAAGATGCCCCATGCAACACCAGCTGCCAGGACCTGGTCCAGACTGTGGACAAACAGCCGGACCTTGGAGAATTGGTTTACCACTTTTGCCTAGACAAAATAAGTTTAAACTTATCTCAGTAGGCTTCCACTTGGCTGGCAGACACATCTAAGCATCTGTTGCTGACTACAACCTGCTCTGAATGGTGGCGAGCCCTGGACTTCCTGAAAGCTGATGTGGACCAGTCCAGCTGATAGGAACACTCCCTGGTCCTTCACTGGAGTCTGCTGAGTGCCCCATTGCCTGAATTTCCTCCCTACCTTTGGCTAGACTTTCAACCTACTTGGGCCCGGATAACAACGCCCCAATGTCAGCTTGAAGTTGTGGAAAGGAACATGTCGTCCCAGGCCCCATGCCCCTGCCCAAAATAGGTTGAAAGGCTGAGACAAGGGGGAACTCCCTGGCATGGGGGACAAGATAACTAACTACAGCGCCTGTTAATATACTAGGTCCAGAGTTGTCAATTAATAGATTTATTAATTTAAGTAGTTCCATGCCTCCTTAAAAGCAGGGGCAAGCAGGATCCAAGACTGGGTCCTGTCATCGGTGCTTGTGAAAGGGGAACTGTGGGGGGCAGCCATGATAAAGTAAGTATGGGCAGATCACCCCAAGGAAGCTCTTTAATTCCAACCATTATCACCTGCCAGAGTAGGACTCAGCCAGTTTAATGGAGGCCTGAGTCTCAGTAGTTTAACCTGAAGCAATACCTGGTTGCAGAAAGGACCATAAACTGAGATTACCCGAGCACCACCCAAGAACAGACCATCCAAAGGAAATGCCTCGTTCCAGCAGCTGTAGATAGGATCACCTGTCAGTGCACACTCACCAGGACATGCCTGGACAAATGTCAGCCAATCAGGGGTCCTGAACCTCAGAAACCCCTCACCCCCACCTTTACTACTATAAAACCCAACTCTAATCTAACTGAGCTCGGGGCTCTCCTTTTATTCCAATACTTTGGACATGCAGAGAGACCAAGTTTGCAAACTTGCATAAAATAAAGGCTCATTGCTTTTACATACGGGACTCAGTGTCCTTGTCAGCTTTTGGGGGACTTTGTGGATTTGGGCATAACAGGGAGCAGCTGAAACTTCACACCCCAAGAGGTCAGGAGAAGGCATTGGTGAAGGCATAGCCTCAGTTACAGGGAGACCCCAGCATTTCTCAGATGCCAGTACCATAGGCGGCAATTAAGACATCAGCCGCCTGAGCCTGGGGAACAAACTCTCTGTGTGCTTTGGAAACCCTGTTCACCATAATATCAGCTGTGGGTAAGCTTGTGGGGAATTTTTTAATTTAGTGATGGATGTGGGAGGGCACAGCCCACTGTGGGGGGTGGGGGGTGCCGCCCCTGAGTAACTGGGGTGTGTAAGAGAACAGGTTGAATAAATTGTAGCAACGCATTGCTCCACGGCCTCTGCCTCAGTCCCGCCTCCATGTTCCTCCCTTGAGTTTCTCTCCTGACTTTTCTTAGGGATGAAATGGGACCTGGGAGTTGTCATCTGAAATTAGCTCTTTCCTCCCCAAGTCGCTTTTGCTCCTAGTGTCTAGGAAGGCGGTAGACACCTTAAGGAAGACAGGTGCTGAGTCAGTGTGCTCACAGCACAAGCTGTCACCAGGCTGAGACTAACCATGAACGGGACCAGAGGAGTGACCGCCAGATCTGCCAGATCTCCGAGTAGCCCCTGGTACACAGGGCCTTAGGCCGTTATAGCCGAGGCTGGCTTCCAATTCACAGCTGAGTATTAGATTCCTAATCCTCCAATTTAGGGATTACAGGCTAGCACCACACCTAGCTGTGGGCCACTGCAGGGGGAGGAGGGCGTCCCCTCTGCCCTAATCCTCTTGCTGAGACCTCCAGGGAGTGATTGTTTTCCCGTGCTTTGCCTCCCTGGCTTCCCAACGTGGGCAGAACTGAAACCACTGCCACTTTCCCTGCTTTCCTTGTTCTTTTTCCACCAACAGAGCTTGGTGTTTCGTTTGGCAAAACCTTGCCTGCAGCTAGGGTCTAAATGGAACAAATGAAGGGCTGCGGGTTGTCCAGGTTTGACCTTTGACAGCAGCAAGCGAGGGGCAAAGGGCAGACTGAGCTGCTTCCCTCCACCTCCTGTCACCTGGGAGGGACAAAGCTGGTCGGGGTGAAAAGGGAAAAGGACCAGAAGGGGGCGTGCGCGTCTGAATCGACAGCCGCTGGAAGGTACGCGGAGGACCGCTGAGGACGGAACCAACTCGAGAGCGGGAGAAGTGAAGGGGCTCACAGAGACCGCTGAGGAAACAGACCAAGATAGGACCAGTCAGGGAGCAAAGACCCTCAGTGAAGATCAAAGACCCCCAAAAAGGGCTTTCTGCCAGGGAGATTCTTCACCGGAGGCAGGAAACGCAACCCCAGACATCTAAGGACAAAACAGAGACTGCCTCACAGATCAAAAGGGAAACCTGGGGGCACTTGCTGCTCTTCCAGAGGACCTGGGTTCAGTTCCTGGCTCACACTGTCTGTAATTCCAATCCCAGAGGATTCAACCCCTTTTCTGGCCTACACAGGCACCAGGCATGCCATGACACACGGACAGACAGACATGCAGGCAACAAGGAAAAAACAAGAGAGAAAAAAAAGAGAGAGAAGCTGGGCATAGTAGCACAAGCCTTTAATTCCAGTACTTGGGAGGCAGAGGCAGGGGGATCGCTGTAAATTCAAGGTCAGTCTGGTCTCCGTGGTGAGTTCCTGGACAGCCAGGAATACCCAGGAGAGGCCCCAAAAGCCAACCAAGACAGCTCCCTGTGGTAAAGGCTATCCCTAAAGCACATGCTGACACAGAAGCCATGCTGGCAGCCTGGCCATGCTCACTCTCCCCACCCTGCCCCCTACTCTAAGCTTCTCCAGGTCATGAACCTCTCTCCCCTTGCTTCTCATTCCTATATAACCCTGGTACTTGGGCTGGATGCTGTCTTGGCCCCCTCTCTCTTGGTCTCCTTTGCCCAAACCCTCTGACTTCCGTCTTGCGTCTACTACCTTCCCAGATGCCTCTAGCGGTATTCTAACATCCCAACCCTACCCTGGAGCGATCAAGGAGTTAAAAAAAAAAAAAGATAAACTCTTTTTGCCTTGTTGTTAGACAGGTTCTCTTGGAAAACCTTGTCCTTGAAAAGAACTACAAACCCCAGGACTGAAAAGATCCTGGTTAAGCCAAAGCAACAGGTTCGAGAGAATAGAATTCTTCAGCTTGTGCACAGTCTTCTCCCACTCCTCAAGGGAGGGGGACACTGGACCAGGGCTGGCCCAGTCAGGCTCCAGGGCCACAGGCTTCCAGGAGAAAACACCAGGCTTTTCCTAACACAACTTACCAAGAAAGAACAAGGCAATCCGGGCAGTAGTGGTGCATGGCTTTAATCCCAGCACTAGGGAGGCAAAGGCGGGCAGATCTTTCCGAGTTTGAGGCCAGCCTGATCTACAGAGCAAGTTCCAGGACAGCCACAGGGTCTCTACACAGAGAGACCCTGGGGGAAAAAAAGCACCCGAGTCATTTCTGTAATGGGCTCTCATACCTTAGCACAAGTGACTAACTCAGCCCATGAGAAGCACCACCTACAAAGCAAATCCTAATCCGTCAGAGTCACAGTT